AGTAACTACAAAGTAGAAAGTATCCGCCTCTTGTCATTTGTGGAGGTACCAGCTTGAATCAATATCTTTGCTGAACCACCACTTGAACAATGCACCAAGAGGACAACGGGAGTGGAGCACACACCGAAACTCTGCAGAACCACCGTTCTACAACGAAACACTCTTGTTGACTGCGTCACTGCTGAGCTTACATTTCTTCTCAAGCGCCTTTCAGGCCGTTGTTCGGAGCAAAAACAGTTGGACGCTTTCAATAAAAGAGCCAATTGCTCTATGGAAGTCCCGGAACCAACTGTTTCAACTAACTCATGGATGCCTCTCTTTGAACCTTTCTCTGAAGCTCTAGACTCCTCCGAACTCGACCCCGACTCGAACAAACTCCCCAGCCTTGGGCGTGAGTGAAAGCGTTATGTTCATACTCAGCTCTGCTGGTCCTGGTTCAGAAGACTCCATCATTTGCCTCCCCAGCCTCCAACCTCCTAGTAGCGTCCTTGCTCCTAGTAGCGATGCCAGGAGCCCCTAGTAGCTACTTGTTCCTAGTAGTATGGCCAGGAGCCCCTAGTAGCGTCCTTGCTCCTACTAGCGATGGATTTTTCAACTTGGCCATGTCACGTCGCTACTTTGAAATCAGAAGCTGCAAAACATGTCCTTCAACTCTGTTTCACACGGCTCATGATGCACAGCAACTTTGGCTGCTTTGAAGTTCTCCGAAGCATCTGTTGGTCAAAGCGATCGCCATGAAGCTAGAAGCTTTACAGGTCACTAAGTGTCACTGTGAAGCACTTGAGCGGCAAGTCTTTACAAAGCCGCAAGCGACAAATCGTGACACGATTTAACCTTTCACTTCACCAGCGCTGCAGGAAGGTCTTTGAGGCTTTTCAGCACGACGGTGGGTCCCCGAGCATTGGGCCATGGATCAAACACGCTTTCCTTTGTTCTCTGTACCCAGAAGGTTGTCCATCCACAAGCTGCGCTGCCAATGATGTCGAAGGGGTTGCTGGAGACGAGGCATGTATTTGCAGGTGTAGAGTCAGTGCAACTGTTGAAATATTCATAGGACTTGGGATCTGGCTTGAAAGTCTTTGGCACCGGCATATCGTCTACAACCACAATGCCATCAAAGCATCCCTCCAGGCCAGCATGTGCAATGAGACTCTCGACGTCGGATTTGGTGCCATTGGAAAAAGCGAAGAGCTTGTGCCCCTCTTGTTTCAAGGTTTCTAGAGCTTCTTTGCACTCCGGAAAGGCATCCAACTTCTTGTAGCCTTCCAGCAGGACAGCCTTTTCCCCTTTTGTGAGGGGCGTCTCTAGCATCTCACAGCAATAATCCAAAGCTTGGCTGGTGCAACAATAAAATGGCTCGTATTCACCCATGAGCCCCTTCCGGAAAGAGTACTCCAGCTGCTTGTCTCGCCAAAGCTGTGCAAATCGGGGTGCTTTCTCTCCTACCGTTGGGAGAGCTTGAAGCGCCTCGCCAACGCTCTTGACGTTGAAGACTGTGCCGTACATGTCGAAAGCCAAAGTCCAGGTGCCAGCCATGGAGGACTCAAACAAATGGCCTCCAACCCAAGAGCAATGGCCTCCAACCTAGTAGCGCCAAGCCCCGCTGCTTTTAATAGGAGCCAACACAGGACCAAAAGGAGCCAAAAGCTGGCCATATTCATGAAAAGAAAGGAAGAAGGACAAGTCTGAAGGTCAAGAGAAAAAAGCGAGAAGAAAGACACAGACCAAAGAGATGCCAACAAAGGTCTACAACCGAAAGAGCTTTAGACAAATAACTCTTGGACTCCACCACTTGCTGACAAGAACTCCACTTTTGACTTTAGGTCCTTGGTCTTCATTTTGCGTTACTTTCGTTGTTGTCTTCCAACAATACCTCTTACTTTCTTGACGCTCTATCACATTCCGTATGGCATCCCGATTTTGTACCTTTCCGTTGTTTCTCTTGAAACCTCTACTATTGTTGACTTTTCTATGCGCATGCGTAAGCAAGTGCGGTTGGCCCGTGGCCTCCGAAAATGCATCTCCCGTCCTAAAGAGTGTGACCCGCATGGCTGCGAAGTCATGACCCCATTGTCGGCACATTTGATACCTGCCATGCGACAGCCTTGCGGAAGCATACAAGCAATATGCAAGCAATGTAGCACGTGCCAAGCTCTTTCGGCATCCTTTCTTATTGCACCCCGCTCAGACTTTGGGTAATTGGACATACAATCACATCAACCAAAATGAATGAAATGTGAATCTGCTGGAGCACGTGGGCGCATTGTTCATTTCACCTCCAGGATGACCGCGCACATATCCAAAGGCTTGAAATTTGGCGTTCCTCCAGCTGCTTTCAACATCAAGTAGACTTCAACGATGTTTGTGCGGCTTGCAAATTAAATGAGAATAGAGCAAAGATGTTTTCTTCGCAAAGAAAGAACGACCAGCAGAATGCCTTTTGCGCATCAAATTAGCAGAATGCCTTTTGCAAACGCACCACCCGGCCTATTCCCATAATTGTAGCTGGAGAGAGGCCTGCAAAAGAGGCTCAGAGTGAGGTTGAGGCGGTTGAGGAATATTTGTGATGTGTCACCTGTTGTGCCTTTTCCCTTCGAATGGGAACCACTGCCCCCTGTTGTTGTTCTTCATTCCGATGGTACACCTGCTGTTCGATGATCCGATGAGAGCACTCCATGGCAGTCAGTAGCATCCTTGTAACTGGGAACACTCGCCCGCTCATTGTAGTGAGCAGTGAGAAGTAAGTACTCGAGTCCAAGACACGAACCTCAGAGTTGGAGGCCATCCTTACTAGGATGGAGCCGTCGCTACTAAGTGTGTTCCTGCCACTGGCAACCTTCCTATATAAGTAGCAATAAGACCAGTAAGAGTTGCAAGGAACAAATACAAAACGGACAAACATGAATAACAAAAACACAACGAACAACACAACAATTCTTTCTTAAAAGTAGACATGGAACCACCTAAGTTTGACTGTCATACTGCCCATCCAACCCTGCCTGTGGTGCTGACCTTCTCCCCCCAACAGCCCGCCGAAATTCCCCGGCATGGCCGGTCCGGCACCGGATCCGCTCAAACGGCGAAGCGGGCGTGGAGAAAAGGAGCAGAGTCGATCTACACGAAAACCGAAGAGAAAAAGAACACAAAACCTGTAAGCCAGTAGTAACAAGTGCCTTACTAGTAGTAACAAGAAGCAAAATACATTAATAGCTTCTTGTTACTACTAGTAAGGCACTTGTTACTACTAGTAAGGCACCTGCAAGCCGTGAAGCTACTTTCGTAGCTGGCCTGACTACGAACAAGAAGTTACTAGTAACAAAGGGCATCGCTACGAACGGAGCGATCGGACGCTGCTACTAGCGATGGCCTTCCTAATTGCGATAGCAAACAAAAACATACGAAGAACTTGGAAGTTGGATGAAAGGAGCATCGATGCAGAGAGAAAGGAGGCAGTCAATGTTTATTGTTACTAATAGCGTGGCACTTGTTCCTAGTAGCTTCTTGTTACTACTAGTAAGGCACCTGTTACTACTAGCGATGCACTTGTTTCCAATAGCTTCTTGTTACTACTAGTAAGGCACTTGTTACTAGAAGCGATGCACTTGTTACTAATGGAAGGAAACGAGATTTTGTAAAGCAAAATAATTCAACCAAACAGTGTTTGTTCGATTTTTCAGCTGCTTTTCCTGTCTGGTTTCTATGCCCAATTTGACAACAATGCAATTGTGTCCACCTGAGTGCCAAGTGCTTTTCCGGATTTTGCTTTGCGCTCGTTCCTCGATCGAATCCAAGCAAAAAGACGTGCAGCTACGTTCCGTCGCAGGGGTGATCAGTCCCATAACAAGGATCTGGCTATTAGAAATGCAATAAACGAGCCAGTGCAAAAACTAGCAACAAACCTCTCTAGATGTTGAAGACCTTTTCGTCGGAAAAAACATTAGGTTGGAAAGCGCGTCGCCTTCTCAGATGCGTTCTGCAACAGCATCTGTGGCCAATTGCCAAAAGGCTGCTTTGCTGACGCTTTCCGTTTGCACTGGATCAAGTGATACGAGGCGGCCTGAGCCATCTCAAAAGAGAAAGCCTGACATGAAGTAAGCAAAACAAACCACGGCCACGATCCAATACTTTGGGAAAGCCTGGAACTGTTCATACTGATTTTCGACTTTTGACGGACTTTGGACATGATCAGGGCGCAAAGCACGCTGACAGTCCGCCAGAAACTTGTCACAGTCCTCAGCATCTCGTCAAACTCCGAGACAGTCTCTGACCAAACTCTTTCTCTTGACTTTTCCTGTTTCTGCTACTAACAACAATGCTACTAGAAACAAGTGCATCGCTACTAGCAACAAGTGCCTTACTAGTAGTAACAAGAAGCTACTAGGAACAAGTGCATCGCTAGTAGTAACAAGGGTATGTCGTAGTCTGCGTATGTCGTGGACTTAACTTCCCCTCAATGCTAACAGCAAGAACGTGGGGTTGCTATCTGGTTGACAAGCCATTACCATGAGTTGTCTTGCATAATTTTCCCTTAGCAAGAAGCTACTAGGAACAAAGGGCATCGTTACTAGGAGCAAGGACGCTACTAGGGGCTCCTGGCCTTACTAGTAGAAACAAGGAAGCTACTAGGAGCAAGTGGCATATTTGGAGACCTTGGGACTGGCACTCTGCCATCCGTCCTGCTCTGACGTTTGCCTTGTTCGTACTCAAGACCGACTCGAGTGCAAAAGCAACACCGAGTGACAAAGGCAAGGGTCATAGACTGAAAGTGTAGATCAAACAAGATCTGAACTTAGCCTTCAACAACCAACAATTGGGATCTTGGCATCTTCCCGCCTTCCTAGTAACGTAGCGATGGCCTCCGTTGATTTGATGCTTGTATGCGTATGCCTCTAGTTACTAGTAGCATCCTTGCTCCTAGTAGCGATGCCTTTTGTTGCTAGTAGCTTCTTGTTACTTCTTGTTACTAGTAGTAAGGCGCTCCCCTAGTAGCGTCCTTGCTCCTACAAAGAAGGCGCCGGTTTTTTCTCGAAGGCTCCTCCCGGCTCCAGGTCTCTCCCAGAATGTCGAAGTCCACCGTGCCCCCCGTAGGTGATTGGGAGCTGATCCGCCTCGGTCAGACATGTCAAACGTTGTAATTTTACATTTAATTCTAATAGCTTCTTGTTACTACTAGTAAGGCACCTGTTACTACTAGCGAGGCACTTGTTACTAGTAGTAATGCTATTTTAGTTTTAATGTATTTATTGTTTCAAATAGCTTCTTGAAGGCTTCTTGTTACTAGTAGCGATGCCCATTGCTCCTAGGTCCTAGTAGCGTCTTTGCTCCTAGTCATAACATGTCATTGATTTTTGTTGTTTTGTCCTACTTTCTTTTTCAAGCGTTTTTGTTGGACTGCATGCTCCACTTGCCAAGGCACATCGATGTGTTCCAGCAACTTATGTTGGAAGTTGCTACCTAAGACTTGGATCTTCGAGGCTGTCACCGGATCCAGCCAGGACTGAATGAGCCGGTAGAACCTGAAGCGTGATTGCTCGCAATTTCGCTGTGCCTTGCTGCCAAATGTGCAATCAAAGGCACGCCACGAAGAAGACCGGTGCGTTGACAATGAAGAGCACGGCCAATGACTCGGGATAATAGCCTCGAAAAAAGCCAAGGTGAAGACAAACAGGCAAAATCTTGAGCAGGCCAGCAATTCAACAGTGGCAACTGTTGATGATGAAGAAAACATCTTCCCTAAAAATCCAGGAACCAACATGAATAGTGCGTGAGCATGCGTGAGCTTTCCTGCATTCAGTTACTAGGAGTTACTTAGTAGTATAGTAGCTAGTAGCGAACTTCTTCCTAGCCGTGGCCTCCACCAATGGCCTCCAACCTAGTAGTTACTAGGAGCTATTAGTAACAAGTGCCACGCTAGTAGTAACAAGTGCCTTACTAGTAGTAACAATGTTTGCTATTTAAATTTAATTCTAATAGCAAACATTGTTACTACTAGTAAGGCACTTGTTACTGCCAGCGTGGCACTTGTTTCTAGGAGCGATGCCCTTGTTCCTAGTAGCTTCTTGTTCCTAAAATGCTCTCCGAGAGGCGAGAACTGATAAAGAGGAAGTCCTTGAAAGTGGCGACGGCCTGGCGAACGGACGCTTTGCGAAAGTGAACCTAGTAACAATAAGAATTGTAATTAGTAGCTTCTTGTTACTACCAGTAAGGCACTTGTTACTAGTAGCGTGGCACTTGTTCCCACTAGCTTCCTACTAATCTTTGGACCTTCCTTTTGCTTCTAGGTTGGATGTCTTTAGACCTTCCTTTCTTCCTTTTCTTTTGCTTATTCTCTTCCTCCCTGGGCACAAACCCTTTACTGCTTTGCTTGGCTCAGCTTTTTTGCCGAACTCCCTTTACGGCCAAAACACTTTAAGGCTAACAAGGTGCATCGCTACTAGTAGACACAATTATCAACTTTTTAAAGAAAGCTTTAGAAAGCTTCCAGCGGGTTTGCCTGAGGATGTGGACGTAGAGGCATGCCCGCCGCATTGGTGATGACCACCTCGACGTACCCAAGAAACGATTGCATTCGACCATCGTATTACTAGTGGTTTTACATGGTGTAGGGTTGTGAAATTCAAGAGCATTGACAAGGGTTGTGAAATCAGTTTAACAACGCTGTTTCCAAGGCAGGTCAATTGACAACTTGCATTGCAAGCAGTTGCTCCGACCTGCTTGGTAATGGGCCGCCCCAAACGACGGGAAGACTCTTCCATGCGAGCCGCCTGGCAATGCTGGTTGGGTCGTTCACAATGGAACTAGTAACAGGTGCCTTACTAGTAGTAACAAAAAGCTATCAGAATTAAATCACAATTAAATCAAATTAACTAATAGCTTCTTGTTACTACTAGTAAGGCACTTGTTGGGTTCTTGTTCAAAGAACTTGGCCCCAGCTTGACACCGCTTTCTTCTACCTCGCTATTAGGTTGGAGGCCATCGCTCTTGGAGTTGGACCCTTCAGGTTGTAAGGGGTCCTGAACAATGTTTGCTATTAGAATTAAATTTAAATCGCAAACGTTGTTACTACTAGTAAGGCACTTGTTACTACTAGCGTGGCACTTGTTCCTAGTAGCGTTCTGAGCGCTAACAAAAAGAGAGAGAGACCGCTCCAATTGACATTTGGTTTCTCGCGGTACTGACCATCTCGAAGATTCCTCTGTTTCGAACCAAATGACTAGTGCGAACGTGAGGAATCCTGCGTCCAGTTAGTAGGAGGTAACTTAGCCCTGAATTAAGCAGGCGCCTACTTAATTGAGTAGTAGGGGGGCAGCGCGGCCTCTAAACAGTTCTGAAGACGGCGCCCCCAAGTACAATACTCTCGGACTGGCAGAATCATAGCAGAAACAGCAAGGAATACAACACCAAATAGCGAAGGCCTCCAACCTAGTAGCTTCTTGCTACTAGTAGTAAGGCCAGGAGCCCCTAGTAGCGTCCTTGCTCCTAGTAGCGATGCTCTTTGCTCCTAGTAGCTTCCAACCTAATAATTAGGGAGGAATACTTAAAGTCATAAAAGGTCCATAATATGTGCTCCATGCTTAGGGTATCTGATACGAAACTCCCCTTCCCGCCTGAAGCTCCTGAAATCGGATCAAACTCTTGACCACTTTTTCTCGCCCGCCAACCTGGAGCAACGAACCCACCTGACTACCTACCTGGAGCAGCATGTCGAAGCATCTTGAGTCAAGAGGCATGTCGAAGAAGCTCTGCAAATCTCCAGCCAGCCAATCCACCATTTTGGATCTGAATTGGCTGTCCTTTCCTTAGTGCTTTCACAAGCATCGCGGCAAAATTCCAACAAATGTCCCCAAAACATTTTCACCAGGCACAAAAAACATCGGGCTGCTGGGTTGGTAGCGACACTTTTAGCAAACGCCGCTACACTCTTGCTACACAGTCTGTGACAGGATGAGGATGCGAATGCCACCCCGAAAAATATAGAGCAGCGATTTCAGTGCCACACATATTGGACACATCCAATGTCGGCCGCATCTGTCGTTTCGTTTGACACTGTGGCTGAGCTTCTTGTCAAAGCCGAACGCGAGGGCCTGTCCAAAGTACACGTGTGCGCCTTCATCCGGCCAATTCTCCACCAACCTCCGGGGTGGCGCAAACTCCGGAACTGAGCGGACGCTATGAACGGGGCTCCTGGCCTTACTACTAGGAACAGTGGACGCTACTAGGAACAAGTGCATCGCTAGTAGTAACAAGTGCCTTACTAGTAGTAACAAGAAGCTAGTAGAAACAAGAAGCTAAGAATTTAGAATTTAATTCTAATTGAAATATCCCGGCAAAGAGACCCCAAACAGTGTATCATAGTGTATCTAAAGGTCTAAGGTCTAGAGGTCGTACGAACCTCTAGTGTTACCACACTGTTTGGGTCATATTGTAGATGTGACATGACTTCATGGCGGAGACATGATGAGTCATGGGTTCGTTCGTGCTTCTTTCTTCACTCATGAGGACATTCTATTTGCCTCTAATTAACTAATAGCTTCTTGTTACTACTAGTAAGGCACTTGTTACTAGAAGCGAGGCACTTGTTACTACTAGCTTCTTATTACTACCTTTTGCTCGTGCATTCCGTGCATTTCCATTTCCTTTTGCTACCTTTTCTGCACCAAAACTGTCACTCCTTGCTACTCGTGAGGAGCGCTGCACGGGAGCCTTAGTTGGGGGAACATTTCAATGTTGTCGCGGCTGAGGCGTGGATCCTGACAGATCGCTTGGCATCCTGTAGAAAGCCATTGATAGGAACGAAAGCTAGGGAGAACGGAGAGGTCCAGTCTTTGTCAAAACGAAAAGCAAGAAAAAGAAAGAACAGTAGTAACAATGTTCGCTACTAGTTACAAGTGCATCGCTTCTAGTAACAAGTGCCTTACTAGTAGTAACAAGAAGCTAGTAGAAACAATAAGCTACTAGGTCTAAAAAGGGTCCTTGGAAATAAGAAGACTTGAGGCCAACCGTGGATCCCCAAAGCTGGTTGCTGGTCCTCGGCCGCATCAGCTGCTGCATCTGGACCCGTTGGCCCCGGGGCATTGCGTCGCCAGCGTTCCACTTGGTTTGTCTTCCGCCAAATCTGCATGGCCTGACGCTCGGAGGAAACAAAACCTCCTAGGAGTAAGGCCAGGAGCCCCTAGTAGTGAACAAAACCTACCAGCGCACCATAAGAAATAACATCCAGAGATTTAGTTACCGCCAACAAGATGACTCAGAAGGACTTAAGCGCCTTAAACATTTTGGACCACACAAGAACAACTGGGCTACGCACGTGGAACTGCTCGACGGCTGCAGGCACATGCCACTTCCGGGCCACCAAGAAACGAAGCAAATCTTTGTCTTCGACGGGCCTGGAAATGCCACACGACGCTACGCACGAGTTCAACGGTCGGATTGACCTTTCTTCAGCTTTGAAATGATTTCAATTAGTAACAAAGGGCCTCGCTACTCGGAGCAAGGACGCTACTAGGGGCTCCTGGCCTTACTACTAGGAACAGTGGACGCTACTAGTAACAAGGGCATTTCTACTAGTAGCAAGAAGCTACTAGTAACAAGTGCATCGCTTCTAGTAACAAGTGCCTTACTAGTAGTAACAAGGACGCTACTAGGAACAAGGAAGCTACTAGGTTGGAGGCCATCGCTATTGGAAGAGTCTCAGAGTCTGCCCGATCCCATGAATAGGGACTTATTAAGTGTCGCGAGTTATCTCCTGAAATTACCAAGCCCTTTGATACGCTGAGACCTAATCTCAAAGCTCCCCACCATAGGATCTCCGGAGCAGCGGAACTTGGATTCGGGCCCCACTTGTGATCTCATCTCCAGCAGCGCGTCATACTGCCAGTGGAGCAGATCCTCATCAAAGCTACTATGCCCTCCTTAGGTAGTTTCTTGTTCCTAGTAGCGATGCCCTTTGCTCCTAGTAGCTTCTTGTTCCTAGTAGTAAGGCCAGGAGCCCCTAGTAGCGTCCTTGCTCCTAGTAGTACGGCCAGGAGGCAACCTGAAATCCTACATCCCTTCTTTCCACTACTGCAAAGCTCCCCTGGAATGGTTATGTTGGCGACAAGGACGGGAGCGAGCGTGGCTTGTCCAAAGCATGGTGCTTGTGCATGATCGAAACCTCCAACTGAAGCGTCTAAAATCTGTTTCAGTCGTTTCATCTCTAGCAACTCGTAGCACCCGGAACTCAAACTTTTTAAAAATTCCTTTGCTAATTTGAATTTTAATTAAACTAGTAAGAATGCTACTAGTAACAAGTGCCTTACTAGTAGTAACAAGAAGCTATTAGAATTAAATCAAGCTTCTTGTTACTAGTAGTAAGGCCCTTGCTCCTAGTAGCGATGCCAGGAGCCCCTAGTAGCGTCCTTGCTCCTAAAGTAGCACCCGGAACTCAAACTTTTTAAAATTCCTTACCCTACTTTGGACTGTGACCTTTGGTACTAAATAAACATGCTTCTTGCGGCCTAAGTTTGGAAGTGCCTTTGATGCCCCTTCGAACGGCTCACCAGCTCCTGCTCCGTAGGGCTGGCTTTGAATTCAAGCTCGGGATCCTTGGCGGCTCGGGGACAGGGTACCTTAGTCCTATTCATTGTCTTTCTTCCCCTTTACTTCCTAGTGCTAATATTTACTTCTAGCCATGGCCTCCAACCTAATAGCGACCTAGTGTGAATATTACTTCTTGCTAATTTGCCTTGCTTCAAGGTAGTCAGGCCTTCCGTCATCTAAACCCTTTCTCTTTGTCTTCCATCTTTAGACCTGTTCTTCTTTTTTTTCAAACCGAGCAGGTCCGAGCTTCCCGAGCATCGTCCCGCCCTCCGCAGAAATCGAGAAATCCGTAGCATGGCATCGCAGTCCGTTCTTTCGGGGTCCGTCGGAGCCGTGCGTCGAACGCGTGCAAAGCCGAAGAGGTCTTTTGTTCGCTACTAGTAGTAACAAGTGCATCGCTAGTAGTAACAAGTGCCTTACTAGTAGAAACAATGTTCGCTTCTAGGGGCTCCTGGCATTAGGAACAAGGTTGCTACTAATAGCGATGGCCTCCAAACATGGGTCACAGCAAAGAAAGGAACATCTGGGTCTTGGGATCTAGTTCTGTTCGCGGTGGGTCTTGGGCTGAAAGTGGCCCATCTGAGCTCAGCTGCGTTCTTTGGCGTTTGGTGCATGAGAGAAATCTTTGGGCCAAACAGCGGAATGACAAGACCTGGCGATGGCCTCCAACCGAAGAGCGATGGCCTCCACCTAGCAGCTTCTAATTACTAGAAAGCTTCTTGTTGCTAGTAGCAATGATGGCCTCTTCAGGTTTTTGTGTTGTGGGGATTCGTTCGATCAACGCTAGCGCGTTCGATCCACTCAAATTACATTTAATTCTAATTAAATTATAGCTTCTTGTTACTACTAGTAAGGCACTTGTTACTAGTAGCGATGC